TGGCCTTTCTATCCAGGAAAACTCAAGATGGACAAACAACTTTCCTTATTGCATTAAAGCCTGTTAAATGAGAAGTCAATTATGGAAATGTGACTTGTCTTTCCTGGTGAGCTGACAATCACATTTAATAACTGTGGCCTCTGCAGTAATGCTAGATAATGACTGAACCAAAACTCCCTTGTTCTTATGTCCAGCACAAGACAATTAAAAATCGATTCCCCATGAAGTAAATAATGTTAAATGAATTTTATTGCTAATCACATCATTATCTAGGGCAGCCCTTAGTTTACCAGCAGAAAATGGCAAAAATGAAACTGGAGGTACATCCACAAAATCCATTAGAGTCCCTTTGGGATATAGCTGTCAGCAGCTTCAGCTCTTGAACTTCTATGAGGCATGCTGTGTCCTTGACCAAGAAATGTGTTCTCCCATGTGTTTTATAAAGTAAATATCTGCAATGCTAAAGGCATAGTGCCAGGCACATCTGTGTCCATAGACATTGCTGTCCTAGATAATGATTTGACCAGCAACAAAGTTCATTTAGCATTATCTATTTCAGGGTGAACAGATTTTCAGTATGACACTTTTAGATCACTCTTTGGGTTCTAATTAGTTACTTTGTGACTGAGCTGATAAACTTTCTGTTACTACAGATGATCACATCCATATTCAGTTTCCTTTAGTGATGGCAAGTTCTCTGCAAGCAAGAATCCTATCTTCGTGATTTCCATAGACTTAGAAAAATCAAAGCTCAGAATTGCATTAGTAGGTAGTCACTCAGATCAAAAGTGGTGGTAAGAGTAAGGAAGTGAGGGGCTGGGGTTGTGGCTCAGCACTTGCCTAGCATGTGTAAGGCACTGGGTTCAATCCTCAACACCACATAAAATAAACAAACAAACAAATAAATAAATGTGTTGGGCCCAATTACAACTAAAATAAATAAATAAATGATTATAGAAGTGAGAAATGTTTTCAAATATCCCTGTGACTCTATACACCAGTTGCCATAGAAAAACAAATGAGATATTTAAGAATTATCTTTCCCATTCTTTTTTAAAACCTGATTGTTTCCTAGTCTGAGACTATCTAGAAAGGATTCCAAGTACATTATGACTTGGATTTAAGTAACCTTTAGTTGGACTCAAATACATAATCTGAATATTTGAGAATTATTTCCCCTTGTCAGTTTAGCTGTTCTGTCGGAGGAGGGAATATTCTTAATGTGATGATAATTCTGACAGGTTCCTAAGACAATAGTGAACTTGGTTAGAGTCTAAGAAATGTAGGTTTTGTCCATGTTTAAATGAAATGCAAACCTTTTTAGTTGTTTCCAATGTGATAAAGTAGTGTTGGCTTTAAGCCTCTTGGGTGTCCACTATAGTTGATTTACAAACTTAGGCTTACCAGGAGTCTCACACACACACCCACCCCTCCTGCCCCCTTCTCAAAGGTACAACAATTTTTTCTTTTTCCTTTCCTTCCTTTTGTACTGGGGATTGGACCCAGGGGGTGGGTACTGTACCATTGAGCTTCATTTCCAGTTTTTTCTTTCTTTCTTTTTTTTTAAACAGGGTCTTGCTAAGTTGCCTTGAATTTACAATCCTTCTATTTCCACCTTTCAGAGTTGCTGGGCTTACAGGCCTGTGTCACCATGCCTGGGGAGTAGTAGTTTTTTATTGAGACTTTAGGATAAAAACTTTCACATCTCATTCTAGAATATTTATATAAGAAAATTTTCTCCATAAACTTTACAATTTATATTGATAAAAATGTTGACTTTTTTTTTTTTTGCTGGTTTCCTCAGGAAATAAAATCAAGGCAGTTCTAAACCTAACAAAATAAACTTACAATATCTTATGCATGTTTATTAAAAATAGAAACCATGAATAAGCCAATAAAAACTATTAAAATCACGATTCTACTACTCAGGGCTAAGCCATATAAACACTTATATATCATAAAAAGCATTTTCCCCCTCTCCAAATACATATGTCAGCTGCTTTGCAGAATAGAGTTGAACTATATGTACTTTTTACTTGAGCATATTTTTATTGGATGAAAAATATTCTATCATACAACATAAGAAACTTTTATTGATAATCCCCTGATTTCTAGAGAACTTTTTTTTTTAGAATAATGTTATAAATGGTAGTTCATTTACTAGGCAAACTCCTCAGGTCCTAATTGATACCTGCCACATACCTCAGCTAAGCTTCTCAACAAATGGTGCCCCAGCATTTAGAATACGGGATTTGCTTATCATGTTACTTCTGTTCAAATCTCTGTAATCTAGGCAGTACCTGGCAACATCAGGAAGGTAGTAGACACTCTGCAGAATCTGAATGAATTGGAGGTGGGAATCCCTATCTGTCCTGGCTTTTCTGATTGGAACAGACAAATTGAACAGATGGTGGGCACACTGTATAGCAAGATTCCCTCATGGTCGGTATCCTTTGCATTTGTCAGCTTTAGCAACCTTGATATAAAGACTCTTCCCAGGACCTTTCTTTATCTGTGTCAAAGATATCGAGAGAAGGAAGGCAAACTATATGAAAAACTTGGAACAATGAGTTGATATGTATAGTCTCTTCTACCCAACAACAGCAAAACACATATCTGTTTTAAGTGCACATGAAACAGTAATTTTTGATGTTTTTGATACTGAGGATTTAATCCAGGGATCCTTTACCACTGAGCTACATTCCCAGGTCCCCCCCCCCCTTTTTTTTTTTAAAGAGAGAGAGAGAGAGAATGAATTTTTAATATTTATTTTTTGGTTTTCGGCGGTCACAACATATTTGTTTGTATGTGGTGCTGAGGATCGAACCTGGGCTGCATGCATGCCAGGCGAGCGCGCTACCGCTTGAGCCACATCCCCAGCTCCCTTTTTAAATTTAATTTAATATTTTAGTTTTGAGACAGGGTCTTGCTAGTTTGTCCAGGCTGGCCTTGAGCTTGCTTAAGCTGGCCTTGAATCTGAGTTTATACCTACCATATATACCCATTCTGCTTCTAGGTATTTATACAAAAATGATGTATACAAAGCTGGGGATATAGCTCAGTTGGTAGAGTGCTTGCCTTACATGCACAAGCCCTGGATTCAATTCCCAGCACCAAAAAAAAAAAAAAAAAAAAAAAAAAAAGATGTATACATCCATATGAAGACTTGTATGTGAATACTGATAGCCATTTTATTTACAAAAGCCAAAAAGAAATTGAATGTCAATAGGTACATAGATAAACTGTGATATCCATATAACGGAATACCACTCAGTGACAAAGGAACAGACTTGGATACATTTGACAACATGGATGGGTGAAAGAATCCAGACAATGGGTACATAGTCTGTGGTGCCATTCATGTAAACTTTCAGAACATACATAGTAATCTTCAGCATCAGAAACCAGATTAGTGCTTGCCTAAGAATGGGAGATGGTGGGCCAAGCTGGGAAGAAGGATTAAAGGGATGTGAGACAACTCTTGGTAGTGTATTAATTGTGATGGTTTCTCAGGTTATATGTGTCAAAACTTAAATTGTATACTTTCAAGATGTGTATAGTTCATTGTATATCAATTATGTAAAAATATCTGCTTGAAATATAAATAATAAATTAGAATTCTGGCACTATTGTATCATAATAGTGTTTATTAAATACCTGTATACAAATGACCTGACATTTTGTTGTATACTATTCTAGGTTAATAAAAGGGTCTTGCTTGCTAGTTTGTGCTTCTGTACAATCAGAATCAGTAGAAAGTGTCAGAAACCTAGGAAATGTTCTATTTCTCACCGAGGAAAAATCTTTTATATTTATGTGTGGTTAACAGTTGAGCATTGAATTTTTCTTTAAGTAGCGAAGTGATAGATAACCTAATGAAGAACTTAATCATATTGTATTACCTGGGTAGAATAAAAAATGGGGATATTCAATGGCTATTCCTTGCCTACTGAATCAAGATCAGTTTCCTAGGCTTTTGATATGCCCTGTGGTTTGACCTAAGTTTCTACCCAACAACAGCAAACACATATCTGTTTTAAGTACACATGAAACAGTAATTTTTGTTGTAGATCATGAAAAAGTTACAAATTCCTATTCAGTTTTGGCCCACCCTGCCCGCAGAACACAGTGTACTGTCCCCCACATCATTACCTTGGTTAATACTTTTTCTGCCTGTGATTCTTACCCACCCTCACCTCACCTTTGTTTCCATCTGGTTAAAATCCTACCAGTGCTTTAAGTTCACATTCAGATGCTAATATGCTTTCTCATTCTCAGTGTCATTTATGTTCTGTATGTTGGTGGACACTAAGCACATAGTTTGTACTGGGCGCCTTGAACCATGCATATTTATATATATGTCTTGAATGAGTTTTGTCAACAGCACCTAGTGGTTACCTTGTATGTAGTAGACATACATGCTGGTGGTACCATAGAAGAATACATTGGGAATAGAACGGAGCAGATGCAAAATTACACACTGTAGCTACTACTTGGATGTGTTTGACGTATTTATTGTACTTTTATATTTCTTAAAATTATTGTAATTAACATCATTGAGGGAAGCAGTAACAGGAAAAGCAGGAGAAATAAATTGTTTCAGGTTTTAGTTTTGAAGCTCCTTATGTGGTCATATGGTTAGAGCACAGGAGTGGTAGATTTACCGTACTCATTTTGTATTTTTCTTAAGCTAGTACTTAAATTATAAGGAAACACAAACTTCCTTCTCTGATTTTAGAACTGGGAAGTAGTTGGTTGGAGAATGGGAAGTCAATTTATAATTTTAAATCAGCTAGATATAATTCATTGAGAAATCCAAGTAGAAATAACTATAAGAGCTTAATGGCATCTCCACATTACAGTATTCATTGTATCATGGAAAGAGCATGGATTTGGTAGGAGCCATGAATAATTGGGGAAATATTTTTGAAATTTCAGGTGACAGCTATCTTGTGGCTTGTGTCCACACCTTTACTCACTTCTTAAATTTATTTTTCTAGGTTCGGACCCTATTTGTCAGTGGTCTCCCTCTGGATATCAAACCTCGGGAGCTCTATCTGCTTTTCAGACCATTTAAGGTACCTTTTATATCTTTCAGAAATTGTAGAAGGATACAAAAAGGCTGTGTTTTCCATGCTTTGTGGGGGCTTTTTGGAGGAAGAAAAAATGTTTGAGAGAGCACCTTGTAAAGAGATGTTTTCAAAAAGGTTAATGAGTAAAAGAAAGTTAACAACTGAGTTTTAATGCACAGTCTCACCTAGGAAGATAGACTGAAACTGCCTTTTGGCCTCCCAACAACTCATCTAGCTAGAGAGGTCTCTTACTGATGTGAATATGCATCTGGTCCCAGGGGTCTCTATTCCGTGTAATCTCCCCTGTTTGTTCTACTCCAATTGAGGCTAACTATAGACAATGAAAAGGTTACAAATTACATACTACCTATTTATATTTCAAATGCAATAAGGTAAATCAAATCCTGTCAGTTGCTTCCTTATTAGTTAGAATAGTATTCTTGATAAGGAGACATTTAAAAATAGTCTTTTTTGAACACTATTATTTTTTCCCTGGCAAAAGTTCTACATTTCAAACAAAATTTTGTAGAAAGCTGTGTATAAATTAAGAGGAATCTTCCTCTGTGTTTAGTGAAATATTTAATGCAATCACCTGTCCTTCCTGACTGTGGAAATAAAGTTACTTTAGAGATATTTAACATTACTGGGAATGAAAACTTAATAGGAAATTGGGCTAAAGTTGAAATAACCTTGCTGGCTTTTGGAGGATAGGAGGAAACTAGAACTTATCAGAATATGGGCCTTGAAGGCTTCATGATCTCAGGGCCTATGTCCAGGAGCTCTGAGCTGGTCATTGTGGATATGTCAGCTACAACACCTGTCTGGGGTCACCCTTATGGTTAGGTGATAGACAGTCTTGGTTTCTGATTAAAGATCCATCCAGATTGAGGCAGGACATGTTGGACAGGATTCAGCTTAGTAGGAAAGATTAGAGTCTAGGTTGTATGCCAAGAAGACACCATGTAGTGGTAGACCTCACTGCATTCTCATAGCCAACTGCAGAATGAAGTAGTAATGATGACAGCACAGAGGGAAACAGGAAGGGTAATCCAAGACTGGCTAATAGGAAATGGGAAAGGAGAAGAAGGTATTATGAAGAGAGTGCCAACTTTATGGAATTCACAGAGTTTCATATACAGAATCACAGCTGTATAAAAAGAGCCATTTCTGTGACTTTTTAAGCTAGTTGATCTTTTTTTTTTTTTTTTTAAATTATTTTTTAGCTTTAGGTGGACACAATATCTTTATTTTATTTTTTTTTAATGTGGTGCTGAGGATCGAACCCAGTGCCTCATGCATGCCAGGCGAGTGCACTACTACTTGAGCCATATCCTCAGCCCCTAGTTGATCTTAACCGACAAAATATTGTTATGTTTGTATGTATAAGAGGAAGATTTGGCCAACAAAGCCCTTAGATGTATTATTATCTCATTTCATTATTACCACAGTTCCTTAAGGTGGCTTAGCCCCATTGTTTCAAATGATGAAAATGAAACTTGGAACAGTTGACTATATATTATGCTCAAGTTTGCACACATAATAAATGGCAGGACCAAAGAGGCAGGCATTTGACTGCCATTCCTGTTTTAAACTATGATATTATACAGTTCTTTGTGGTTTCAGAGCATGGTATTTCCCTGCCAGTGATGTTTTACTTGAATGAAATATCCATTTGTCCTTTGCCTCTGAGACCTTGGGACTGTTTAAGCCTCCAGGTTTTTTAGGAGAGAGAGCCTACCTTGAAAAAAGAAAGAGGCAGGACTATGAATCATGACCTCTTTGTCCAGAAGAGCTCAAGGCCTGGGAGGTAGAATGTTTATAGTAGCTAATTGGTAACCAAGTTTTGTGCTGGAAAGATGTGAGGATGAATCAATCCTAAAATCCTGTCCAAAAACCCCAATGCTAAAGTTAGGACCTTGGTACATTACTAACAACCCTCTTTTAATTAAAGTCCCTGGAGGCTGACCCTAGTCTACAAATCTGTCTTTGTACTGATATGTGTAGTGGTCAATCATGTCAAGTGGTGTTTTTTTCTGTCATCCATCAGAGAAAGCCACTAGCCATTGATTATTTCCAGAAATGAACACACTTTCTTACTCTTATCCTGAGGAACTAGTTGGGGGAAGGGAGAAGAGAGGTAGTGGAAAAGTTAGGGGATGTTTCCATCTTCCTTAGGAATGAGCTGGAATAGAAACCCCAGAGGGAGGTTTTGCATGTCCCAGCATTATGGAAACCAGCTACTTCATTAACTAAGCAGAATTCAACAAAATGCAGTATCACTGTCTGTTCAGCCTTTTCTGGTCGTCTGAGGTTTTGATCAATAAATTGTATGCTTAAGCGTTTCATTATTATTATTTTATTAGCAAATGTATGACCAAATTAAACATGCTCTAACCTTATTATTAAATTTACTCTCTTCCCTCTCCTAGTTTTATGAAATCCCTATCCTTACCGAGTCTAAGAAGACAAAGATCTGTTGTTGACAAACATTCCCATTACCCTATATTGCATAATTTCATGGAAAAAATAGAAAAGAGAAAAACATAGATAACTACATGATTTCTTTTGGGCCCCAAGTAATAAAATAGGGGTATGTGGGGTTATGTGTCTGTAATTTGCTTTCCCAACTAACTTGGGAGGCATTTGTGCAAAAAGCTAGATAGTCATAGAGGGTCATGTTTACTAGCTAGGTGGTATTACATTCTCCCCATCCCATATTCATTTTGAGGGCTAAACTTGGTTCTTCTTATTTCCAGGGCTATGAGGGCTCTCTTATAAAGCTTACATCTAAGCAGGTAAGAATTTCAAACTTCTGAATAATTGATAACTTTTTTACTTTCTCCAGGAGTATTAAATGGGGTTTAACACTCTTTTTTAATTCCAGTTAGGATTTGATTTTTTGTTGTGGTTACTATTGCTTTAAAATTAAGGGTGAGCTCTATTAGGATTAGCGTAGGAAGATAATGTGTAGTTCTATAGTCTTCTAGCTAGGATATTTGGGATTGTCCCAAAATATGGCAAAAATGATGCCTCCAACATAGTTATATTAAGGCTGATTTGTATGTTCAAATAAAATGATTAAATATCAACCAAATTCACTTGTACTCCCAATTCTTTTCCATTTCTTTTAAGAGGTTAAATGGGTAAACTTTTACAAGTGATATGAATATCCGATGGTGAAGAATCATGCTGTTCCTCAAACCCCTGATAACTCAGGCAGAGTCCCTAATTGAGAACGGAGCACAGAAGATACAGAATGGAGCTGGTATTCAGTGGCCTGGCAGTTCCTACAAATTTCTTGGAGATTAGCTATATGCTTGCTTGCTTGGTTGCTTGCTTTCTCTTTTTTAAGCCAAATACTTGGCATACTTGTCTCTCAATCACTTTTGTCTCTCTGGTTCATCTGAAATAAGCTACATTGCATGTAACTTGCTTGGCTGTTAAAATAGAGTCCAAAGGGATTATGGCTCCCACATACAGTGTGGTTTATGCCTATAATACAGGATTTTTTTTTTTTTTTTTTTTTTTTTTTTTTTTTTTT